CTTCCGCCCGTCGTCGCAGAGTGATGCCTCTTACGCGAAAACTGATGGCGTAAGGGCAGTTTCAGTTAACATATTACCAACTTTGAAATCTTCTCACCACCGCGATCTGTCGTCAACTTTCGCGGAAATAGTTCGCTTGTACTCAGAAAACACGCAACACGCGTCTCTGGGCCTTTGCTTAGAGCCAGCGGACATGGGACTAACACGCTGTCCTTATACAGGCATAGACTCTGTGCGCGCTATGAACTTTGGGCATATCATCGAGGTGCTGTTGACTGTATGCATTTCTGCTCATACCAAAAAGTACATTTCAGTATTGCGTAATTATTTACCGCACTAACAAAACAGGTATTAGCTAGAAGCCCAGACACGTGTGTTTTGCCGATCTTGTGCCGTTGTCTGACGCAGCTGCGAGGGGTTCGGCTCATCAGTGGATCCCCCAACTTTCCCCGTGTATTTTTTGGTATACGAGCCCCAATTTAATCAAGCCTTGTTTAATTTCCGAGGAAATTAATGCGCGAACGTGGAGTAGATCCCTCGGAACAGACCTTTACAGGCATGGTCCGAGATTTTATATGAATATTTGAGCTGAAATCAATCAGCTACTGCGAAATAACCGCGTAATATTCATAGACCGCCAAAAAGCAGCCAGTCGTATAGAATCGTGTAATCATTTACCATACAGACAACACAGGTGCAAGGTAAATGCCCAGACACGCGTGTTTCGCCGATCTTGTGACGCTGCCTGGATAATAACTGGCCTGACTGTCAGTACTTGAGCAGTACTTGTTTGATTCCGGAGAGTGGTTCCTATCAGAAGAATTTATGACTTGCGATTTGTGTGTTCTATGCCAATATGTGAATGCTGTTGGAGGCTGAATGCTCACTAGACCGATGCTTGCTGTCCCAAAGTATCCAGTCTGATGAGCAAAATTCTTGCTGACAATTTCCAGTGAAGTTCGGAAGGACTTAAAAGTTGATGTCGTGTTTGGTATACTTCCAACGTAAAGCATTTTATGTCCCACTCTAGAGTCCCTGCATTTAGGCTTGGTTTTGTGGACGAGATTCTACACGGGTTTTATCACGTTTGGATCACAGAAGTGTCGCGCATAGAAGAGGTCGACCTACGGAGTCTAGGAGTCCGTTTTTTACAATATCATTGTCCACGCGCTGCTTTACTCTGTGTGTCCTTGTAAACATCATTGTTGCATTTTACGAAAAGGACAACGTTTTCGATCCCTCTGCGGTTGGCAGGATCCAACCCACCTGTTTTGAACCGATTGGTGGTAAGTGACCCGAGTCCCTCCCTGACGCCCCTTATCCATTTGCATGCGTTTCTGACTTCAATACCCTAGCATAGTTCGAATGGCCTCAATTCATCATTCGTGTTAAGTTTTTCGTCCGATACCGCTGCAAGTTGGTGGGGATGGAGTTCTTAAAGTCACTTCTGGCAATATTTCCAAGCAGATACGTTTCGCGTTCCTCTGGCTGGAACCTTACCCTCCGCCATAGCAAGACGTTGGGCTGGGACCATATTATTCACTAATCCGCGTATTTTTCAAATTAAAACCGATCGAATTTCTGGATTTTCAAAAAACTTTTTGCGGGTGTTCTTTGGATTTTTCATTATTACCGTCCACTTGCTATGCAGACCCATCCTGTATGCTGCATCATATTGTGGTGTCTGCGAGGTCGCGGTGACAGGATAGTGCACATCTATAAATCAGCATTCACAAGTGTCTGTTAGCGAAGACTGTTAGAAACACAACTACTGAATCCTTACTAGTAATGTGTTGCATAAATATGTGTCGCCACATGAGAGGACGGTTCGATAGGGGGCTATTATCATTTTTGTCATCTTTGACTTTTGAATAAAATAGAATTCCAGGCAGAACGCCTGTCATAGAGGAATTCGTCGACCTCAAAAGCGATACTGTTGTGGACGTTTTCAGATTACCAGTGTGAACTTAGCCTCTCACGGTATGCAGCATCAAGCTTTTTCATTTTCTCAGGAATTTATGCACGAACTTGTAATAAATTGTCGGTGACAGACCATTTTCACGTTCGGAATGAAGTTGATATTGATGTTTCAGCTGAACCCCATCAACAAAACAAGTGCCCACCCTTTTAGATTCCGCATCTGGTGACAGTATGGTAAGTCAGTCCGTATCTATATACCACTACCAATGGGTCGGATGACCATTGGAACTACTTAGGTAGTCAGCAGATGTCGCCACGGTGACAACTGCTGACTACCGTCTGAGGTAATGGCGCTACGAATATGTAGGTCAGTTTGCTGAGAGGAAAGTAAGAGGAGGAGCCATAGGCGACTCGACGCCCATTTATTCCTATTTGTAAAATAATTGCTCAAATATCTTCAACTGTGAACCTCAAGATTTTCCGGACTACTCTAACATAATGAAATACACAACGCATCGATTAGTTTTACCATGGACAAGTTTTCTAAATCTGAAACATGATTCAGCAAACGGTGGCTCTCGCAGCTTGGTGTGCGCTGGTAGTTTTCTGACACCTGGTTCCCTGCCGGTATATATTTTTGTGCTCCTGGTGCGTATACAGGTGACCGTGGCGGCCCAGTCATGCTTCTCCTTCCGGCCCTTAGTCGGTGAAACTCTTGGTCAAGTGTTTGTTGTGGACCAGAGGATGTGGTGGTACGCCCAGCTGCGTATCCGACCACACCAGCCACCTGCGCCCTCTTCCGCCTCCGGTCTTCTTGACTCTGTCTTGACACCGCGTCCAGGTGGGAGGAGGAGCGAGTGCGGTAGATGCAGTGCAAGTATAATACCACCATAACCTTATTCACGTGCAAGTCACTATGCCTGCTTCACCTTGCTGTGGAGCACACGGTGGACATCGCCGGGTGCGATGATCGAACTGTTGTCCGACTGGACCACCTAACCAGTCGTACTGAATATAAATGCAAACATATTACATACAGCGACCTCGACGAAATGTAATTCATTAGTTCGTACTGAGAAAGAAGTCTTCTTACTATACAGACACCAACCTTAACGTCTTTTGCATGAAACATGTACAGCTGTGATTTATAAAATTCTTCCGACCTTACTGTGCGGTTGCTAGTCTTTTTGTTTGTAAAGTACAGTAGTTAGTCATTCACACAGCAACAAATACCGACGAACGATCAATATTTAAAATCTGAATATGTCAAAATTTACCTGGCTGTCTATAGAGGCCAAAGAAAGGATATGAACCTTTTATGAGTTCGTTTCAACCTGGAAACTCAGTAAATTGCCGTTGGCGGGAAACCTTTCAATCGATAGCACAGGGCATTGGCTGGCTTGCAGAGTAAAAAAGACAAAGTCTTTTGCCGCTTGCGAAGCACTGCTGAAGAGAATGCCTGGTCAATCTGAGGAGACTTTTAGGGAACCATAATTGCGATTAACGCGCAACAATTATGTAGAAACAACTTAGGTGTGCAATCTCTAAGTCGGTGTTACGCACGATTTTGACCCTAATTACGTGCCTATGCTAGTGAACCATGACGAACCTCGACACTCATTTGTAAGCCATATCTGAATGCAAAAGTTTGGGCTTTGCCCGACAATATGAGCGACAGTGTAATTTTCCATTTTAAATGCCACAAATAAATAAACTTAGGAACTATTTTGCACAGAGACGTAAATCAAAAATGAGAACATTTTGCGAATGCAAGAGGTGTGCATTTAAACAAAGAGGAATGATAAAATCTTTAAGTGGTCTAATGAGCACTGTATGGTTGGAGGTATACCTAACGGATAAAAAATAAACTGTCGCATTGATGAGCATTTCTGCGCAGTAAATGCGGGGTTAACTTGAATTACAGGGCAAGTTGGAAGCATTCGTATTTTGTTCTTTACCGGAAAATATCAGTAAATGTCCCCTACATTTTCCGCCTTAGCTTTTATAGTAGTTGAGGAAGAAGAAGAATCGAGCACCGGAACAATTCGTTTATTATCCTGAGCTTTCAGACTCGTACAGGAGTCCATCGTCAGAGGTAGTGGCAGAAACAGGACAAGCGGCAGTTATAAGGCACGTAGACCCAATCATCGGC